GAGGACAGAGTGTCTCTTGTGGTGTAAGTCCGTGCCCGTGTGAGCCATCTCTGAATGTGTGCGGCGATTGGGGGGCCTTAAGAGCTGTCCAGGCAAGGTCTCCTTGATTTGATTTGGAGCCGTAATCAAGCCCGAGGCACGGGTTCATTTTGTAGGGATAAATTGGCACTGAAAGGCAGATGTCAATAACACCAATTCACATCAGCGGGCATCTTCCCCTGACACCACGCACACTGATTGGGTTTTCTCGGCTTGGAATAGCCAGAATTTTGATAACATCGAGAACCCCTCTGAGGTATCGTGTACGCTTCAAAATGTTCGCGTGAACTTTAAAAGATTGGAGAGGGATTTGTGAAACTGTAGTATCATTTCCAAGTGTGTAACGCTGACCAAAGGAAGGATTACCAATAAGATCTTGAGATCATGTCTTGCGTTTTCTTTCTGAAGAGAATTTGGTCTCGGAAGAACTGCTGTGTCCATCTAACAAGTGAAGAGATACGGCAAAACTAATAAGATTATAAAATGGTGTACCTTCCAGTACTGTAGCTGTAATTTTCTGGTTTCTATAAAGAGCCATCTGTCCTATATACAGTACTCAAGTGCATACAAAACCCAAGCTGGTAGTTCCACCCAAGACAACATCTGACTAGGACAGCAATCAATATCTTTTTTAAAAGCTTGGGTGCCGTAAAGATCCTGATGTCCAGTTTACTGCTTCTGGAGGAATTACTTCTTACACCAGTCATGTACTTGACTTAGGTCATCAAAGCTTCCCTAAAATCTGTTGTGTTCAATAATTCAGTTCTTAACAAATGCTGTTTTTCCCCCAACATCTTTCATCTTTGGAAGGAAAAATTTCTATTACTGTAACAGTGTTTGATAATTGTAACTTTTTACATCTCTAATGAACCATGTACTTGCAATCCATTTCATGAATTAGTCCCATAGGGCCAGCAAATTTGTAAATATTAGCATCCTTCTAAATGAAGCAATATTATTGCAATTTATTAGGAATCCAGTTACCACAATGCTAGCAGAAGAGACTGATACCCACTAATTATCGGACAAAATTAATACCAGGTAATTAACATGGGGCTAACATTATCTCAACACAAACATGTAATAGAACCTTAAAGTTGGTTCCAGCAAATTCACCAAATTACCACTGGTTCAATGCTAATTGCATCAAGACAAAAGTTTATCATTTTAGGTTAAGGGTAAATCAAAGAGAGATGTTTACAAAATTTGTTTGATTTTATAGTGTTAGTGGTTCAAAACTAACAGTCCATTCCCCAGGTTGAATTCTTGATAAATAAATAAATGTGTATTTGCAGAGGTGACCTACTTCAACTTGAATTTACCCTTGACTTAGATTTAAGGACTAGATATGATGGATTCATGTCCTTTATATGCCCTCTAGCTGCTGGAAACTTCATGTTACCATGTACATAACTGTTGAAATCATCTTATTTGGAGCATGGACTTAAGTGTTGCAAGTGGGTTGAGTGTTCGCCTTGTATTTGGTAGGGCATGAGTTCCTAAGATTCCATGTAAAATCTATAGTGTTACATTTGTACATGGGACAACATCTATAGTGTTACATGGGACCAACTGCTATCCAGTTTGGTTTTGTTCATAGAAAGTTAACGGGTGAGGTGTTATCCTCAGACATGATGTCTTCAACATCTTTCTAAATTAACAAGCACATGGTTATCACATTGGAAGAAAAAACATTGTAGACTCCTCTGGCATTGACCAAGCTTACCCTATTACAGCATTGTAGATCCGTGCAGATTCTTCAAGTTGATACATGTATATCTAGAAACAATTTGAATCAGTTCTCTATATTAATATGTGGATGCAATATGGGAAAATAATGAATATGTATTTGCATTCAGTGACATACAAGAAGTCCTTTAGTCCAATCAGGGCTTTCCATGCACTTTTCTGGCACATAAGTTTATAATAACTACCCTAAGAGGTTGTTACTGTGATTATATTTTTGGGCACATTTGCAGACTGTGGTAGCAGTAGATTTATCAACAAGTGTACAGTATCTATCCCATTGTATCTTTGGCTCGATTCCTTCTGGCCAGGAAACAGTTTAGCGCTATCTCCTGTCTCCAGAATGGAGGCTTTGTGTGAGAGGTGTGTTGGCCAGGGCTGGCAGGGAGCTTTTGGCCATGCCGTCTCGCCCAGAATCATACCAGACAGATAAGATGGAAGTCCTCCCTCCCTGGCAGCGGAGCCAGTCTTGCGGCGTTCGCCAGTCTGGACTTAATTCAAAGTCGTGGGAAGCCCAGGAGAAAGGTTTGGTGCCAGTAATGGGGTGCAAAGCCTTTAGTGCAAAGGAAACACAGAGGGCTGATGGGCGGGTGATGGATGATACAGTATTGGGACGGAGAGTCTCCCGTTGCTGATGCGTCGTGTGTGGCGTAATATTGTTTCATGTACCTCCAGATTTGCGTGATTTAAGGATGCTATCATTGCCGACAGGACAGTAAAACTTAATGCACTAGCTTTTATGATGATTACTACTCCTCTTGCAAATGACTGACTTGGCATTACACATACTTAGGTGTAGGTGGAGTGGCGTCTTGTGCGCTACATCTCAGGGATTCATCGTCGTTTACTTCATGGGAGCTCTCTCTTTCTTCTAGTGCATGTATTGCCATTAGACATGATGTGCACTGCACATTACTACTGTACCAGTGTATGGGTTAGGTGACACGGCCCTACTTATCATATGCCTGCTCCAGTATGCATGCATTAGCCTCTGTTAGCCTGGAAGTACGTGTAGAAGAAGCTCTAGTGCAGAGGAATGAAGGATTGCGGTTGCTCTAAAAGGCACCTCGGTGACAGATGACGTTACCAGAGTTGGGAAGGCTTGGGAAGCACCAGGCTTTTTCACACTATCCTCTTTTAAGTGAGTATAGATTTTGCATTCATTGTCCAGGGTTTTTAAAGCCCACTGCAGAAGGATTTCAGGAAATGGTGGAGGTAGTTGTCGAACAAAGCTTCAACAGACATTCTGTGGTATGATGCTAAGCTCAGCAATAAGTGTCTTATCTATTGCTTTTTACATGTGATTAGGTTGATCTTGTTATTTTTTTTACTGTATAGTTACTTTTACAGTAGCTGTAACTTGAAGTGGTGTGCCTTTATGGTGTTATTTGACTACTTGCCAGTGTCAAGAGCTTGGCATTTCACACAGTAAGGCCACAGCAATCAATATTATATATGTTTTCTGAAAAAATTACCTTAGAATTGGGTTTATGTTGCTTGTTTCTGCAAGATAGAATAAGTTTATTTGTTTACTTTCTACCAAGCCAAAAAGATCATCATTACAAGCAAAAAAGATTATACAGGTTACAGGTTTGTGGAGACATTTACATTCATGTTGAGCCGTGCAGTAAGATTTCGTTGGGAAATGAAAAAAAAAATTGACATTCATTTACCTGGAATGTGTAAATGAATACCCATTCCCTCACAACAACTCTTCCCAACAAAAGTTTCCTGCTGCATATCTCTAAAAGACTTGTTGAGCCTAGGATCATTTTGAGAAAGACCACCTGCAGCTGTATAATTGTTTGATCTGAAGCCATTAACTTTCATTGTCTGCTACAGAAATTTGAGTGCAACGGAAAGAATTCACTGGATACAATGCAACACCACAGGATCTAGTGATGTTTTACATTTTGATTGATTGTCACTGCAATGCTTCAGAGAGACCATAATTACCATCTACGGACACTGTCGGACAGTAGAAGGGAGGAGCCAGATGTAGTCGGAGACCACAGATAAACCAGAACTGGGACATGGTGACAGTGACAGATGCATCTTCGCTGGCTCTATGAGTCTTCCAGGACTTGGGCATAAATTGACATGTTCTCTAGTCGCAGCTCCTCTGGGGTCTTGGGGGACATCAGGGCCTTGTATTGACGTCAGTGTCTGAAGTTGGCACTCTCTCTTACCTTCAACAGAGGCCCACCGATGACTCCTAACTACATGTAAATGCATGAGTCCAACACCAGTGTGTTGTGGACCTCCCAAGTACTGGAATATGACATATTTATCAGCTTTGAGCTCCCTATCTTGTTTGGTTGACACAAATCTTCTCCACAAGTGTCTTCTACTTTGTAACAAGGATTTCAGCACCAAGGACTGAGCATATTTAGTAGGCAGCAGGAATTTAAGTTGTCATATATGATTCTGGTACTGTTTTTTCATGTTTACACTGCTTTGGATATTTGTTTTTGTAACAAAAGCTATACATAAACTTTAAGGCTTTTTTTACCAGTCTGAGGAATTTCCATGTGCTCTGATCTGCCATCAAAATCGCCTTTTCTTAATTTTCTTAATCCGTCCAAGGATCCAGCAAACAGATTCACACTTTGTCAAGGGGTTGGGTTCTGAAATATGAATCTATAGGGGATGGAAGCGTCTTTATCGATTTTCTGTAATTATCATAGGATCAAACGTTGTGCCCTTGGGAGAGGCACTTTACACGACTTTCCTCACTCCACCCAGGTGTGAATGGGTACCTAACTTTGGTTAGGTAAAGTGGTATTGAGGTCACTTGGGGGTGCCAAATGGCAGCCGCACAGACCCTTGCGGCAGTTCCACAAAAATGTGTAGAGGAAATATGTAACATGTATCATAAAAAAAGATGCAGTTGCCCAGGTAATGTTTGACCAATAAACCTCTCTATCTGTATCAGTATAACCAGTATAACCGCCCTTTGGCATAACACACCAGCTTCGCAGACATGTGGGGCGGTGGCAGCTGGCTATATTTACACCGAACGACTTGTTACATTCAATCTTTGCACATTAAATTGCAGGAGTTGTTTAAAGGTTTCTAGTGATGATGCCCCAATTGTGCTTGGTGGCAACAAGTTCCAGTCTATAATAGTTCTGGGGAAATAAGAGTTTTTGAACACCTCAATTCTTGGTTGATAACTCAAGGCATGACTGTTTCTTGTTCTTTTATTATTCCAGCTTGCGGAGAAGAGGAAAGCCCTGCTGGATGAGCTGGCCATCCAGGTGCAGACGTCCTCAGAGCAGCACCAGGAGCAGGTGGCCCAGCTGGAACAGCAGCACAGACAGCGGCTGGAACAGCAGGAACAGCACCAGGCTGCCCACCAACAGCAACAGGCAGAGATTCATCAGGTAGGAACATTCTTACTCCATTTTTTTATGTCTTTTTAAATGTATTCACTGTATTTTCCATTATGTGATTATGTAATTTTAATGTTTGAGCCTTGGAAGATTAGCCCTGCAGGAGCGGCTAAAAGGCTTCGAAATAAATGAAACTCTCAAACCATACTGTGGTAAGCACGTCGGCAGAACGTACTGCACCTACGCAAAAGCCATAATGTATTGTGCATAGCACTTCGGCAGAACTCACAGAAGGTCGTATTCGCACATATAAGGTTAACATCCCACCTGTAATTTCCAAATGTTCATCACAGTTGTATAAAAATTGTGTGCACATTGCATATTATTTTGGCATTATTTTCTACTCTGAGCTACATGTATGGTTAAAGGCTCTCACCAAGAGAGCTATGGTGCCTAAAACCAGGTGGTGGAAATGTATATACATGTATGCAATTGGTTGCAAAGCCTATGCTTGTAATACTTTGTTTAATGTGCAATGTTGCTAAAACTTCCACTTGACGTTCGGTGTTTGTCAATTGTTATGTCTTGCGGGTATCATTACGAGGAAGGCTGACAAATTGGGTGTATAGACAGGTGAACACAAGCCTCCATGTCGTATTGACTTGTCCATATTTTGGTTCCACGATGTCTACACCAGATAGGCTCTTCTGTTGGGCATGGCGGTTACAGGGGTGCCTTTATCTTTCTAATGTTTTAATCTATAATTGTTTGTTAAACACTAAAGTGTTTTTCTACATTTTTACATTAAGTATCTGATTCAGATTTAAGCCTTCTGCTATACAAGATCATGAAAATCATTTGAAAGGTTCATGCAGGTCCTGTTGCATTGGATTTGATACTTACTTTTGAAGTCAAACACCAAGGATCTTAAGGTCAAAAGGGTTGCATTTCAAGTAGGATAGAGAAAAAGAGCTACTTTGCCCTTAAAGGTACTGATTTAATGGTGCTCAGGGAATTGCCTTTAAGAAGCAGTCTGTTGATGTTACTTGCTAGAATTAACTTTTGTTCCGACCTAACTCCCCAAGGGCTGATTACACCTTTAACACATGTATACATCCTACCTGCTTCAAGTAGAGGTATTTTGATCTCAGTTGCGACCTTGCGACTCTATGTTATCTTTATGATTGGTTTGAAAACGTATCTATATATCCTTGAAGCGGTGGCATTTACTACTTTGGAGCCAAGCCATTTCTCTTATTACCTAGTATGTAGCTAAAGCCCAGGTACAAGTAATGCCGTCTTCTATAGATATTTTTTACATTTAGTCTTTCAGTTTTCCCTCGAGAAATTTTTGAAGATATTTTCTTTCTGCCTTCTTCAAAGCTTCTTTAATGATATTTTTCTGGGGTTAATGCTTCTGGGTCATGGTTTAGAGTCAACTTACCAATTTCAAGTCCCTTTGTGTAGTCATAGAACTAGCCAGCGGCAATAAGTTGTCAGTTAATACTGATGTATCTAATGTTTGGTGCTACTTTCACTTTAGAAGAAGTGTCAAGGTGTCAAAACCTTTTTTGAGGTCCCAACTTAAGATTTGATTTCTCTTTTCTTTATCTTTGATTTTCTCTGTCTATAAGAAGGTCCTCCTTCTCGTGGAGTCTTGTTGTCTGCTCGCCGCAGGTGGCGTGCTATTAGCATTTGAACTGTCTCTTTTAAGATTTTAGTTTACAACTTCACAACTTTCTGCTCCCTTGCACAAAGATACTTTGTCAATGCAGGGCATTGATTTTTTTTTATCAGACATGTCTAAAGCAGCCCTGAAGTGCATCCTCCACCGGTACCATATTTTCTCATGTTTGTGACCTTCAGCGCTCAGTGGGTGGTACAAGGTTGTATTGATGAAGGTTCATTCTAGATTAACATGACCGTTACATATCAGCGATGTTTCTCCAGGTCATTCACCTCATGGTTGTTGGCTTTATTTGAGTTGAAGAGAGTTGATTACATTATTGTACCTTGGCTGAATCAGTGATTTTCTTTCAGAGTAAACTATAAAAAATGTGTAGGGGACCTTGAAGTTTTTTTTAGATTTACTGCTTTCCTGTAAAATGTAATAAGAGCAATCTGTATACAAGTATATGTCATTACATGCCTTTTGTCATGATGCTTTGATACAATGTAATTCATGTATTTTTGTTTCCACATATTAGACATACAATGTACCTGGAGTGTTTTTATTTTAGAAAGAGTATCATTATTAATGACATAAACTTGCTTTGCACTAAAAGCTAAAAAGGAACTCTCTTTCTAGTTCAGGCTCCTGTGCTTGAAAAATTTCACTGTCTGAGCTTATGTAGCCTGCTTACCAGACCTATTATAGCTCCCGAGTCCTACAATGTACAATGTACATCCTCTCCGCAAACAGCTATTTGCGGAGAGGACGTAGGACTCAGGAGCTATGATAGGTCTGGTAACCAGGCTAGAGCTCATTGGTCCAGGCCAACAAGAAGTCAAGACAGAACATCAAAACATGACAAACATTCGTCACATCCTTTTGTGATGTCATTAAAGTTGCTCTGAAGTGCGACCCTGCGAATTCAGACGAGGTGCATCAGTGAACATGATTACGGCAGCTTAAGCTCGTAAATCCAGTGACAAATGGTATTGTGTGCCACAAGTTAATGAAGGAGGATTTGTTGTCCCAGACATTTGCCACCAGCAGGCTGATGAAGGCAGGAACAGGCTCAGTCTTGACAGTTTAAACCATTCCTGCTGTTCCCGTCCCATCCAGCTTCTAATTTCACCGTCCTATCTTCTTTATCTGGCATGAAAGCAATTAGACAACATTTTGCAATGCCCTGAGGCTGCTTCCTCCTAAATCCAAGGCGGTTGCGTTCCCATCGTTTTGCAGGAGAAAACAAATATTCCAGGATTTTGTCAGGCTTAATTCTACCCTGCAGCAGGCAGTTTTGGAGCCACAGTGGAAGTTAAGTCTGTCCCAAGATTATTAAAATCGTCGAGTCATTTATTATCCAAGATGATGATGAATATTGAGATGAAGGGTATGCAGAAGTATTGTCATGATATTTCTGGACTGGTCGCATGATAGCTTCTTTCTTCTTAAATCTCTTATGCATAAAGTAGGAAGATTTATCTAAAGTTCAGGAATTCTTGACTTCTTTTACACAGATTTCAGTACCTTGACCAAACAAAGGAGGCACTATGAAGTTTTACCCTAGCTGTTGAAAAACATGCACCAGGCTTTTTGCATTATAAAGGTCTACTGTGCTTATAGTTACTACAGGCTTTCTGAATTCATATTCCTACAGAATTAGATATATTCAAATTTTTCTCAAATTATAGAGGGGTACCATTCATTGTGCAACATCAGTTAATGTCCACTTTTGGTGCCCTTTAGTGTACTTAAATACTTTCCTGTACTGTCCAACCTTATATGTCAGTAACATTTTATTACTGCATGGTTCTATTGTTTTAATCGTAGCCTTTAATATCAAGGTAACTGTCCATTCATAAAAGTAAACCCTATCATTTATTGCTTCAGTTGTTAACAATATTCTGAAAGTTATGCCACTCCTAGTCCTAGAACTCTTTCAGACTGTGTGGAAATGAAATTGAATCCAAACCTTAAGGTTTTTCCTAGCTGGTGTGTTGTATCTGATATTCCTTTTGGCCATTAGAAGTATTACTGAACAGTATTTAGAGTCCTCAACTTTCTGTGGCGATCCCAAAGAATATTAAGCAGTACTTAATTCAATGTTTTTCATACATGGACAAGTTTCCAGCAGAAGACAATCCTATAAAAGTCTTGTTTTTGTCCCATTTCAAATTACCACTCAGAGATGCTTATTATAAAGCCTCTTTGGACCAATCAAATGTATGACCCAATGCAGACACTGTAATGCAAGAGGTAATGAACTCATTGTTGAACTAAGGACAGCTGAGACACCCTGTCTTTATTCCTACTTTATCTGCGGAAAACAGACCAGCTACAATGCCAGCGGGCCAATTTGATTCCTCTCCTATCAGAGCTGCACATGTAGCAGGTATGAGATCATGGTCACCTAAGCTCGAGCGTGAAAAGGAATGTGATATCTTATAAAGTGAGATGTATCCTCCTGCAAAAACACAGGGATCAAAAAGTCATCAAATACACTGGCGATAATGGCCAGCATTTGCCAGGGCTTGATCCAACGAAATTTTTGGGCATTACGAACAGAGTGGTTCACCAGGGTACAGCATTGCGTTCCGGCAGTAACGCATATAGTCCACACATACATCATCCCCTGCACCGGTGTCCTAGATTCGCAGACTGTTATTACACCCATAATATCAGCATCTCGGCTTTGGGAAGCTTTTCCTTTATGGTTTCTAGATGATATATGGGTTATTTTCTGCCCGGGATTGGCTGGAGTGCAAATGTCACGGATTCATTGTTGGGTGTGATGCGTATGCGTGATGTCCTTGGTGTTTGCTATGGTGCACCGGCCGTGGGCCTGTAAATCAACTTTTTTCATCTCTGCAGAAAATGCGATTGTTCTATATTGAGGAAATGGATATTAAAGCTTGTTTTAGAACCCATAAATGGGCTGATATTCATTCCGTTTCAGCGATGCCAAAGCTTCTGCAACACCGGGTTTAGGCCAACGACATGTACATGTATGGCGGCTTGCCATGAATCCAGGCTATTCTTAGAGGCAGAGGAGTCCTTTTCATCCTATTTCAAACATAACAATTTCACCATTCTGGGATCTCCCATAACCTTGTCGCATTGAGATGGTGAAACATATTATGTTGAAAGTCCCTACAGTAACATAGAGAACTGCTGTTGCCTGGAACACTGTACATGTAGGGTATTCAGGGCTCAAAATACTGGGTACATGTACACCTTAGTGCACCCAAATTTGGAGCTGTGCTGGGCACCCAAAAATTTTTTTGTGCACCTAATTTTTTTTAGGTTGGGATGCACCAGTGCACCTATTCCCAAAAATGAATTTTGAGCCCTGGTAAAGTGCTGAAGTTGTAGTCTTCTCCCC